GTTCTCCTGTACACAGGGTTGCTATGAGTCAGTACTGAGTTGATAGCACCTAACAACAACAACCTGTGGATGGACCATAGATGGCAGGAAAGAAAGATGGAGATTGCCGAGATACCGCATAGCAAAGGTCACCTGTTATTTTTCATGGTAAAGCAGAGTTCCTAAAGTCATGAACTCAAAAGAAGAAGTTACAAGACATGAAAAGATCAAATTTGGCACATTGGCTCATTTTGGTATGTTGTTGTTGTTAAGTGCTGCCAAGTCGGTCCTGACCCATAGTGAACCTGCATAGGATTTCTGAGGAGTAGCTAGTGAGTTTGATGCACTGACCTTGTGGTTCAAACCAACTTTGTAGTCCAGCACATTAACCCACAATGCCACATCAGGACTCCCATTTTGTTATAGCAGGTGGAAAATACCTGTCCCCTTCATATAAATATCTTCTGCCTGCCTGCCTTGCAAGCATCAGTCAAAATGCTTCAAATCCTGATACCACTGAAGATCTTTGGAAAGAAGGAGATCTTACCACCAGAAAACAGATCCCGTGTTATAGAAAATGGTGATTGTGAATGTCATCGAGTGTAGTCACCTATCTCTGGGCAGAAAGAAAGGTCTGCTGATGGGAATACCCAGGAACTCAGTGGAGATTGGATAACTTAATGAAAGAAAGTACTTCCCTTGGCTCCAACCCTACTGTAAAAATGAGTAGCAAAGGCTCTCAATAAGCCAAAAAGTAGCTGTTAATATATGAGAATTGATTTCCTGCTGGGGGTTGAATGTTGGGCTGCAAGATCAGAGATTCAAACCCACCAGCTGCTCTGTTCCTGTAAAGACTTAGAGTCTCAGAAACCCTACATAGGGTCGCTATGAGTAGGAATGAACACAATGGTAGTAGGCTTGGTTTTCTGGGTTCCTTGCCTCCCTGTATAGAGCTCAACACTCAGGGAAGCAGTCGTCAAGATATCAATGACACATTACATTAGACGCATCTGCTGCACAAGACTTCTTTAATGTATTCAAAAACAAAGATGTCAGCTTGAGGACTAAGGTGCTCTTTAACCGATAGTTGGACAATAAATAAAGAAGTCTGTAGAAGAATTGATGCATTTGAGTTGTGGGGTTGAAAGAGAACATTAAAAATACCATGGACTACCAAAAGCACAAACCAGTAGTCTGTGTTGGACGAAGTACAGCCAGAATGCTCCTTCAAAGCCAGGATGGCAAGACTTCATCTCACATACTTCAGATATGGTATCAGGAGGGACTAGTCCCTGGTGAAGGACATCATGCTTGATAAAGTGGAGACTTAGAGAAAAAGAGGAAGGCCCCCAACGAGATGGATTGGCATAGTGGCAGCAGCAATGAGTTCATGGATAGCAATGATTGTGAAGTCAGTGCAGAATCGGGCAGTGTTTCATTCTATTGTAAGTAAGGTCACTATGAGTCGGTAGTGACTCAATGGCACCTAACAACATAGAGCTCAAAGATCTCTCCTAAGGCGGCATAGAACCCAGGAACAAAGAAAACATTCTCACTGGTTTTTACTTCTGAAACTCAACTGGTTCCAGTTTTTAACACAATATAGCATTAAATTTACTCTGTCATATTCAAGAGCAAGCACACAGGAGACATTTGGTTGTGAGGAATTAAAAAACATAAAGAATGAAGGTACTAAAAATTCATTATTGCTTCAGTAAATCTGTTATATAAGTAACAATGAATAAACCCTCATAGAATCCTATTCTTTGTTTAAAGGGGAAAATATTCAGGACAGGAATGGATGGACTCATATTTGCGGGAAATTTTTTTCTTTTAATGTTTTAAATTCTTCCTACCCTAAATGAATGGAAAATTCCACTTAACATTCAGGCACTGACTGTATCTTTAGCTAAGTGATAAGAAAACAAAATTAAGCAATAAAATATGAATAAGACAGTAACCACTTGGAAGCTGAAGTACTCATAGGCATTGAGGGTTGAGGACTGAGCCTTTCCAGCCACCGTAGTTGGTCTGATAGAAAATAAGCACAACAGTTTTGTGGCCAGCAACCTTGGGAATTCAGCTGGGGTCATCACAGAAGAATGAGCCCCAGATTTCTCTCTCCCACTCTTCTTTCTCCAAGAATAAAACCGGGTTCACAAACTCATGGGCTAGAAATACCTGGCAGCAGGCCAGTATCCAGGGGCTGGGAGCAAGAGGCCACCCCTGGTCCCCCAGGAGATGAATTCACTGTGTTCTGCTCAACCAAGTCCACTTTTGCTCTTGGCAACAGGCCTGGGAGCAAACCCTAGGATGGGAAGACGCTACTGGTTAGATGGCTCCCTCTAGTGGCAGGTTAGCTCAATATCCTCTAACCACAGTCCTTAAATGGATCTATTGGAGGTCCCAAAGAAATGTTAAGTGCTGTGGAGTCGGTTCTGACTCAAACCACCCTATATAGGGTTCCCAAGGAGCGGTTGGTGAGTTTAAAATACCAATTTTGTGGTTCAAATCGACCTTGCACATTAAACCGCAGCGTAACAGCAGAACTCACAAACTTTCTTGTGGCCCCTCACGAACTTTTGATACTCACCTCAAATGATCTCAGGGATTTTTGTTTCTTCCTCAGTAAGTTCTGGGAGCAGAACACTGAGACCTTCTTTACCTTTCAACCAGTAAGTTGTTTGTTCTCCTTTGCCCTGTGGGGAGCAATGAAAGATGTTTGTGTATCAGAGGAATGGAGGCTGCTGGGAAGTCCAGTCTGAGCAGACTTCTCAGGGTTCCCTTACTGGCTGATACAGCAGGAGCTACCTCAGTGAGGGAACCAACCACCTGCCACTGAGTCCAATCAAACTCATGGTGACCCCACGTTTGTTAGAGGAGAACTTCAGAAGTACCTCTCCAGACCTCTCTTCTGACATTCCTTCTATAAGCCGTCAAGTTCGTAACTGTTCATGTCATCCAGGGGCTGAGTGAGTGAAGGCCTTGTTAGAGATGAAATTTTAATGATAAGCTAGAAGGAATTACCAATGGTCTAGCTTATGAGAACTAATGACACTAACTTTTGTGGAAACGGAAAGCTTAAAAGTACGAATAAAATCTAGTGAGCTCTTACTGTGAATTGGGTGCCCTGTAAAGTGGCCCCATACATGTTCACATTGAATCCTCAAAACTACCCTGCAAGAACAGTGCTATCATCATCACTATTTACAGATGACAAATCGAGTCCCCAATTCAGATAACGAGTAAGTGGTAGGACAGGACTCAAGCGAGGTCTATAGTGCTGCCGTGAGAAAAGTCTCCTTTGACCTAAGATCATTTGGTCCAGTGTAGTACACCAGTACCAGACTTAGCGAAGTGGGTTGTTGATGGTACCTTCTTCCCCTTTCCTTTCCTTCTCTGACCCCTACATTCACCCAAACACCCAACTTCACAGTAACCACCCCACCGATCCCACTGTAGAGGGATAGGGTTGGATAAAGATTTAATCCCAAAGCACTTGCATGAACATCTCCCAGACAGATTTGTCCTCAAGAGGAGGCCCCTTACCCTAAGGGAGAGACCAGTGCATATCAGTGATGAGAATACCCCATGATTCATTTCAGTGACACAATGCAGGCCAGGGTGGAGAAGAAGGCAGAGGTCATTCAATGTATAGAAATGAGGTCCTAGTACCTCCAAGCCCGAAACCAGCAGACTTCTGACCCCTTAGACTTACGTGATAGGACACAAAAAGAAAGGTGGACACTGTAGCTCTTAGAATCATATTTGGGGTTGTTTTATTAGGGGAACTGGACTATGGGTGTCAAAGCAGAAGTTGGGGGACCATTTGTAGCAGAAAGGAAGGAAGCACACATCCGACGTTGGTCTAGGTGGCAGTTACAGTATTCTCTGCTGCAGATTCCATGTTTGACTATTTGAGGGGACTACATAGTCTTGTCTGGAAGAAGACCTCGTAGTCATGAGATCCTCCAGAAATGGACTTTCTAGATCTCGGTCCACCACTGTATGGGCTGGATTTATGCATGCAGGGAAATTTCTCAGCATCTCATCAGAAACCCAAATGGAGAAAATGAGGTGCATTCTGCCTGGCCTTACCTTGACTTCAATGGTTCCTCTCTTTTGCAGATCGAATCCCCCCAATGCCAGCAGGGTACTTGCAGTGCTCTGAGAAACATGTATCCGGAGAGCTGCCACAAAGCAGGCATTAATTACCTAGTCATTGTTTTGACCATGATTTTCATAAGGGAGTCAATGGACGGGCAGCTTAGAGAGGGAATGCCACACTACTCAAATTCTCTGATCACCAGAATTTACTAAATCTTTGAAGTCTGGGATACTTGGGCTAGGACTCTCAACCCCCCAGGAATTTCCCAGACACTTTGGGTGCTGTTGAAGCTTCAGTGTAGTCCATATAGAGACAGAAGGCAGAACCAATTCAGTTTGCAAGTTGGTGCCTCTCATGGATGGAGATTAACTGGTCTCAGATTTCAGTGAGAAGAAAGGCTGCCTGGGATGGTATCAGAGCAGGGACATATTACTGAAAAGGTTGTTTGTAACCAGAACTACAACTGGACTCAGGTCTGGAGCCTGCATACACAGCTCCACTTTCAAATTTTAACCTGACAATCTAGTCTTACAATCTAAGAGCGAGATCTGTATTTAAATCCGTATTTGAGACTTGGTTGACTAACTTAATCAAATGATCAGCAGTAGAAAGCAGTTTTGTTTGTTTTTAAGAATTGTAGAGAATTTTTAAATTCCAAAGATTGTTAATCTAAATTCTTTGCAATTTAAATCACTAAGAAATTATTTTTCCATACTTCAGCTGGTGAATAGTTATCCATTATGTCTACCAATAGTTAGTACAGTAACATTTGTTGTTGTTGTTGTTGTTATGTGCCGTGGAGTCAGTTCTGACTCATAGTGACCCTGTACAGGGTTTCTGAGGCTATAAAATCTTTACAGAAGCAGAAAGCCTCATCTTTCTCCCACAGAACAGCTGGTAGTTTCGTACTGCTGACCTTGAGGTTCACAGCCCGATTCGTAACCACTACACTACCAGAGTTCCTTACAGTAACATTACTGTAAAGCAAAAGAGTAAATGTTGTCTGGACTTGCTGGCCACAGATTTCTTTTGCATCTTCAAGAACATAATCTATATCTGGGATTGACAAATTATGACCCAAAGGCCAACTCCAGGTTAACACCTGTTTTTGTAAATAAAGTTTTATTGGAACATGGGTATGCCCTTTCATGTGCGTATTGTCTATGGTTGCTTTCGAATGGCAATGGTAGAGTTAAATGATTGTGCCAGAGATCGTGTGGGCATCAATGCCTAAAATAGTTACTACTTGACCATTTACAAAGAAAGTGTAACAATTCTTGGTCAACATTAAAATGCTTTCATTCTATGTGTGCCTGACTACTTAAAATGAAATGTCTTGGGAGGAGGAAAACCCCTGTGTTTCCATGGCTCTATGAAGCGTAGTGGTTACGAATCGGGCTGCGAACCACAAGGTCAGCAGTTCAAAACTACCAGCTGCTCCGTGGGAGAAAGATGAGGCTTTCTGCTCCCGTAAAGATTTACAGCCTTGGAAACCCTGTACAGGGTCGCTATGGGTCGGAACCGACTCGACGGCACTTAACAACAACAACAATGAAGCGCAGCGGAGTCCCGGTGTGGCGCTGTGGGTTAATGAGCTGGACTGCAAAGTTGGTTTGAACTGCAAGATCGGTGATTCAAGCTCACCAGCTGCTTCTCAGAAACCCTATGCAGGGTCGCTATGGGTCGGGACCAACTCGACAGCACTTAACAACTGTGAAGAGCAGTGCTCAATCCTGTCTACACAGCTTATCATCAATGTTGTCTAGGGTGTCTTATTCTCCAGATGGAAAAAAGTAGGCTAAATACAAATTCATCTTCTAAAAGCAGCCCTCTGGTTCAAGAGAGAGGGCTACAGGGACAATACTGTGTTTGCAAAGTGCTGTGAGCGATACCCACGCAGACTGCTGCTTTCCATTCTGGATGCCATGTTCACGGTGTCTCCAAACAGGCAGTATCTGGGCATAGTGACTCCTACCACGCCCGCCACAACAGGACCTGTGAAGCGAAGGACCAAACAGCAGAATCAGCAGGTATTTCCCAAGGGTAGGATGCTCCAGGCCCATCAAGTCAACCAGTTCAAGTCAAGAAGTATTTGTTAAGCGCCCTCTTGAGGCAATGCTTGGCAGCAAGTCTTAAGGTAAAAGACTTGATGGAAATCTACAAAATGTCATCCCTGCACCAGAAATCTAAAGCAAGGCAACAATGGTACAAACGTGAGAGTAATTCATTCTGATTGCGGATCAAGTTTTATTTTAGTTGCACCTTGGAAGTGATAGGTAGGAGCAGGGCAGGCTACGTTCTTTTGGGGGCCCTGTACCAAATAAAAATGTGGGACTTCCTGGTTCAAAACTTACTAAACATTTCAAGACAGTGACAGCCGAGCACTAAATCAAGTGCAGGGCACTTTTGCGCAGGTCCTGCAACCATGCAGTCTGCCCTGGGCAGGGATTTGATAAAACAGATCAATGGGCATCCAATGCAGAAGGAGGCCTGGAGGGCAATTACCCTAATACAACCGTCCGTTTGGCATCTTATATCTCCTGTTTGTTATCAAGCAATCTGGTCAACTGGAAATACACATGCAAAGACAATTCAACTCTTTGCTTCTACAGAAAATGTTGCCATTCAATTTCAGGGTTCTTAAAAGCCTCAGAGCTGCCATACCTGATCAGAAGGCCAGCCTGCTAGCAGTGCTACCTACCTGTGTGGAGACCAATCCGGAGCTTGAGCTTCTCCTCAGGCATGTGCCCTATCTGGAAGTGGATGGTGGCACTGAGAAGATGCAGGGACATTGTGGCAATTGCATCAGCATGCTGGAGTCCATTGCGGATTGGAAGTCCGCTAGCCACCATGTATGCATCTCCGATTGTTTCCACCTGAAAATAAAGCAACACTGTGACCTCTTGTTCTCTGGGGGGGCTGAAGAATAAAAGACCAAGGACCCTGTGACTGGCCCATGCCACCCAAATATGAAGAGTCCCATTTCATCACCTCCACCCCACCTAAGCCCTAGTTTTACCTCAAGTTCTTGCCCTTGTCCTAATTCGTCCACAAAGTTTCCTTTCCCTGACCCTTCTCCCATAGGTGCTGCCTCTTCCTTGGAAATCTGAGTATGATGGAAGCCATTGTTCCCCAACCCAAGCTCAGGACAGAGAAAGGCAACAGTGTCATTGTTACTTGTTGCTGTCAAGTGCTGTTGAGTTGATCCCAACTCATAACAACCCTACATAGGACTTCCGAGGCTATAAATCTTTTTGGGAGCAGAGAGCATCATCTTTCTACCACAGACTGCGAGGGAAACTGGAAACACCAGATGGGTCAAGAGGAATCCAACCTAAACTGTTCTCACACCATATAAGTGCTCTTTTTGTTGGTATTTATGCATAAGTAAGGGACTCTGGCATCACAGTGGTTAAAGAGCTTGGTTGCTAACCAAGAGATGGATGGTTTGAACCTATCAGCAGCTTCATAGAAGAAAGATGTAGCAATCTGCTCCCATAAAAATTGTTGTTGTTGTTAAGTGCCATTGAGTTGGTTCTGACCCATAGCAACCCTATATAGCAGCTGGTGAGCTTGAACTGCCAACCTTGCAGTTAAAGCAGACTTTACAGTCCAGTACATTAACCCATATACTCTGGAAACCCTGTAGAACCATTCTGTTTCATCCCATAAGGTCACTGTGAGTCAGAATAAATTTGAGGGCAATGGGGTTAACAGGTTTATGCATATAAATATATCTGCCTGGTCTGTCCTCTTCACCCCCAATTCTCCTATAGCTAGCCTTTATATAATCTCCTTCATTCAAAGTAATGAAACCAATGAGTAATAGGAGTTTAAAGTTACAACCCATCCAGGTAGATTTGCATTCAGCAGAATTGAAAGATGAGGTGGAATGGTGGAATTTCACTATTTGATGGCACAAACCCAGGAATGAAAACACCTTGCTCTCCTGTTGTTGTTGTTAAGTGCCGTGGAGTAAGTTCTGACTCATAGCAACCCTGTACAGGGTTTCCAAGGATGTAAATCTTTACAGGAGCAGAAAGCCTCATCTTTCTCTCACAGAACAGTTGGTAGTTTCGAACTGCTGAGCATGAGATTAGCAGCCCAATTCATAATCACTACGCTACCAGAGCTCCCTCCTCGTTCTCCTAGTAGCCCTGAAATGACACAAAGCCAACTAGTACATAAGTCCAACTTGATGCTAGGTTGCATATTCCCTCCAATGAGAACATCCGTTGGGAATAGAAACTAAGATAAACTCAGGCAAACATAATTTAGAAGATACTAAATGAATTGCTGTCGCATCAACACTGATTGGCGGCAACCTCATGTGTGTCCCAGCAGAACTGTGACCACAGGCATTTCAGTGACTGACTTTTTGGAAATAGACCACCAGGTCTTTCTTCTGAGGAATCTCTGGGAGGGTTCAAACTTTCAGCCTTTCAATTAGCAATTGAGTGTATTATTATTTACGCTACCCAGGAACTCTGAGAGGCTAATATTAAAGAGGACAATTCCCAGAGGGTGCCTTCCTAAACAGGGCAGGTTTGGGATCTACCTGGTATGTACAGCCTGCTCCTTTAAATTATCTACACCATCCTATTTTCCCCCTGCACGGAGGGAGATGTTGCTGGAGAACATGGAGGATGTATCCCCAAGAGACACAGCCACACTGGCCTCTAAATCTCCCTGGCCTACTGGTCCCCAGCAGAGACAGAATCCTCAGATTCCTTGTGTGGGCAGGTACACATGGGACTGCCCCCAAGGCATGCTGGAATTGGGGCATATTATTGGTTCTGAAGTCATTCATGATCTGACTCCATCCGAAAAGTCAGATAACACACACAAAAAATGATCCACATCAGCCCCACCTGCAGCTTCTGTTAATTAGTCAAGCACTTTTCTTTAATAATGCCAAGTTATTAGTTTTTCCTATTTCCCCCATTCCACCCAACCCCACCCCAATAAAACAAAACAAAACATTTATAGGTGGCCATTTTCATCCATTCTCAGAGTAACGCTGGGCACGTGGTTGCGGTCTCATTTTTAGCCGCTGATCTAGTCTAAAATTGCAGGCCTTCACCTTGAATTACTAAGTATCATGACAACAGAAATGAGCCCATGTAAGACACCTAGTCCCATAGCCATCGAATCAATTTCAACTCATAGCAGGCGATCCTGTAAGACAACGTAGCAGTTCTCCCTGGGTGTTCGGAGGCTGTGTATCTATGCAGGAGTACACAGGCTCATTGTCTCCCTCGGAGTGACTGGTGGTTTGAACCACTAACCTTGTAGTTAGCATTAATGCCTAAGCTAAAGTGCCACCAGGGTACCCTCTGTAAGATTCAAAGACAGCCTTAAAAGAGGTGGAAATATAAGCCTCTCTGAATCTGAAAACTATGCGTCCAGAGGGGAAGGGCAGGATTAGCCAACAGAAATGTTTCCCATTAGATAAAATAACGGATAGAAACAGAAGAAACCAACAGGTGATTTTTGGCAAGCCCATGAATCTCTGATGAATCAATCCCCTTTCCAAGGCAACAAATAGGAATAAAGTATTGAGTTTCTGCCATGAATTGAGATGGAATGCTTGCCACCTGGGCCAGGTTCCTCCTCCCTCAAGCCCCGAGATGGTCCACAAAGAGCATTTGCTACTCACACCACAGGAACCGGGGAGCTCACCTTATACACGTCATAGGTTTTAATAATATTATCAAATAAGCTGTACAAGTCATTGAGGAGCTTTACAACTTGCAAAGGGGAACTAAGAGAACACAGTTTTGTGAATCCAACAATGTCCGAGAAAAAGATGGTCACAGAGTCGAAGTGTTCTGGTTCCACAGATCTCCCAGCTATTAGCTGTTCTCCAATGAAGCTGAAAGCAGAGAAAACAGTTCTTTTCTTTAAACATCATCTTATCCCTCTTGTTCCCCACAAACAAACAAACCCAAACTATTGCTGTCAAATTGATTCTAATTCTTGGCAATCCTATATGTTACAAGGTAGAACTGCTCTTTTCGTGGCTGTAATCCTTACAGAAGATAAGCACCAGGCCTTGCTTCTGCGGTGCCACTGATGTTGTTGTTATATGCCATGGAGTTGGTTCTGACTCATAGCGACCCTGTACAGGGTTTCCGAGGCTGTAAATCTTTATGGGAGCAGAAAGCCTCACCATTCTCCCCTGGAACAGCTGGTAGTTTTGAACTGCTGACCTTAAGGTTCACAGCCCGATTCGTAACCACTACGCTAGCAGAGCTCCTTTAGGTTAGTATAGCCAATTGAAAATTGTGTTTGCACCATACAGATATTTTTGTCTCCAACAGGTCTCCACAAAGTTGCTGCCACAGAACTGTTTGCTTCAGTAGATTACATCTTTGGGTAGCAAAATTCATCAGCTGACATACATTTCTCCAACTGCATTTTCTCTAAGAAAACGTTTGGATCAGTGGGTATAAAGTGGGAAGAAAGGGAGTTACATAAATACATTTACTACCAGGATTATCACCTGAGGGCACCTCATTTTCATCTACTGGTTATAGAGTGGATTGTAAAGACTGTTTGCAAATGTGCAAACAAATTCATTGATCCAGAAACCAATGCTTTTGCTTCAGTTAACCACATAACATACTAAGGCCCTCCTCACCTCTTTTGTCAAGACATAAAAGAAAAGTACAGGAGTGTGAACAGAAACAGTTTTTGTCAAGTGTTAAGAGGTGCACAAGTGAAAAACAAAACCAAAATGAAACAAGTTTTGAGTCGGTTGTGGTAAATGCATGTTGCATCTGCAATGCTTTTGGAGGTAAAGACTGCGGTCAAGAGTAATCGGATTCATGAAACTAGAGTGCCACCTAGTGGTAATTCTTGTGTTGCGCTATCTACCATCTTTTATGTAAAAGATACACTGTCTATGCATATGGATTGAAGGGCTTTTTTGCCTTTGTCTCCCTTGACATAGTTTATCAAATTATAAACAAATTGATTGCCCTCATTGAGAAGAGCCTAGATCATCTTAAGAAAAGAGAAAAGGAATATTCCCTCCTTGTGGAGCTCAAGTGATGATGCTTTCATTCCCTGCGTTCCCGGTCAAGACCCACAGAGTTCGGGAATACCTGGGCAGCATTTTAGCCAGAAGTTTTTCCACCTTCCTCTTCTCTTCAGTCAGCTGGTTGGTCCTCTCTTCCACCACCTCCTCCAGGTGATTGGCGTACACTTCCAACTTGTTCACCATACTGTCTAATATGTTCACATGGCTTTAAAAGAACCAAGACATTAATGTCTTTTTTCCAAGAATTCTAGGGCTTTAGCAGAGCAGAACTATGAACTATACATTCCAAGAGGGTGTTTCCCACCCTGAAGGCTTCCTACTTCAGGACTGCCAATGCCCAACACTGAAATAACAATACTGATAGGCCACATGGCAGGACAAAACCTGCCATTTACCAGCTCTGTGATCTTAGGCAGCACAGCACCTTTCATTCCTCTGAGCCTCAGTTTGTTCATCTGGAAAATGGGGCAGTATTGTTTGGAGATTTCAGGGAGATGATGTTTATAAAGTGTCTAGCTCCATATTTAGCACCCATCCAATAGACACTCAATAAAAAGTGGCGGTTCAAACTCACCAGCCACTCCTCAGAAATCCTATACCAACTCGACGGCACTTAACTACAACAATCATTGTTGCATATGGACCATACTACTGTCATGGCAGAATTCAGGACATGGCGTTCTTATCTTTGCAGACTGTACAATGTAAGAGGTACTTTTAGATTCTGAAAGTTGTCAGAAGGATCTTCAGATCAATCATTAAAACTGGCCTTTCAGAAAAGGAGACTAAGACGGTTGCCAGGATGCTTTGGAGGAAACAGGCTGAGAGGCATGAATAATTTAAGCCAATAATCTGCTTTAATGATGGTAACTAATTTTCATCCCAGAGTCCAGTTCTACTCATGACTCTGGGAATGTTGGTTGAGAAAGATTCTGGGGCCATGCCAAAACTCCTGGGAAAGACTGTCTTGATTGGTTAGTGATGTTTGAAAGGAACAAAGGCAGGCAGTGGAAGCATTAATGCTGGATGCATTTTAAATATTTATGTTACTCCACTTTAGCCAGCAGGTAGTGCAGTGTTTTGCATATAGTAGACAGAGGTGAATACATGATGAATGAATGAATGAATGCACTGAGCCTTCATCTTGGTACCAGTTACATATAGCACATCAGTTTTAACATCCAAATGCTCAAATGATTAGCAGAAAATACCTGTTGCACATTTAACTCACCCTTTGGGACTGGCTTCTCGTAAAACTTTCTTGATGCACAAGAAAGTGGGTCTCTTCTCAGGAGATTCATCCCAGCATGCCCTCACCATGGCCAAGATATTTTCATTGTCCTTCTCCTCTGACAGGGAAGGCCTCAGTGGTTCAGCTGCCATAGGGTTTTGGATTCGGTTGATGATTTCTGAAATTCATTAAAGTCTTTAGGCTCCTTGTTGTTGTTGTTATGTGCCATCAAGTCAGTTCTGACTCCCAGTGACCCTACATAGGGTTTCTAAGACTATATCTTTGAAGGAGCAAAAACCTTCATCTTTCTCCTGTGGAGAGGCTGGCGGGCTCAAACTGAAGACCTTGTAATTCACGGTCCAGTGCTTATCATATACAGCCAGTTTGCAAATTAAATTTTTAAATAAAATGACGCAGACTTGAATCTCTGAAGCATCTGGGTATTTAAGCCAAATATTAGAAATTCTCCTTTGAAAACTGAAGAATCCTAATGTAAAGCAGGAGTCTTGGTGTGGCGCTGTAGGATAAGCACTGAACTGTTAACTAACCTTAAGATCAGTGGTACACAACCACCAGCCACTCCTTGGAACCCTATACAGCAGGGGTAGAAATCTTTTTCTGCCAAAATTTATAACATCATTTGCAAGCCATATAAAATTATCAACTTAAAAATTAGCCTGCTATATTTGGTCAAACATTTAATTAACTTACCCCTAATGGGAGTCCTGCTGTGAGGTAATGCGCTGGACTGCAAAGTCATTTGAACTGCAAGATTGGTTTTCACGCTCACCAGCTGCTCCTTGGAAACCCTATACAGTGTCGCTATGGGTCGGAACCGACTTGACAGCACTTAACAACAACAACAACAATGGGATGGTGCTGTGAGATAAACCACTAGACCACAAGATCAGTTTGAATCGCAAGGTCAGTGGTTCAAACTCACCATTTGCTCCTCAGAAACCCTATACAGGGTCGCTATGGGTCGGAACCGACTTCACAACAAAAATGTGATGGCTAGAACTACAGTTACCTTGGCAGGAATTTCACGTGGCCCTCGGGCTAGACATTCCCCATGCCTGCTATACAGGGTCACACTGTAGGATACATACTGGACCGCAAGGTCGGTTTGAGCTGCGAGGTTGGTGGTTCAAACTCACCAGCCGCTCCCTGGAAACCCTATACAGGGTTGCAATGGATCGGAATCGACTCAACAGCACTTAACAACAACAACAACTAATCTTTTAATGGGCTCAAGCGTGGCAACAATTATGAGGTTGGCCCAGGACTGGGCAGTGTTTCATTCTGTTGTGCATAGGGTCGCTATGAGTCGGTACCGACTCGATGGCACATAACAACAACAACAACTAATCTTTTGAAAGGAGCCCTGATGGTGTAATGGGTTACGTGTTGGGCTGTTAACAGAAAGGTTAGCAGTCTGAATCCACCAGTTTCTCCTCAGGGGGAAGAGGAGGCTTTCTGCTCCTGTGCTGGGAAATCTCTGCTTACAGTCACTGTGAGGCAGAACCAACTTGCTAACAGTGGATTACATTTTGGGAACTAATCTATTTTAGGATCAAGACATCTTTTCACACAGATCAACATTTTTTGGAAGGAGGCATTCTTTGATATGATTTTTTATATTGTTATTGCGATGGAGCCTCTTCTGGCTCATTTTAGGAGTGTTTAAACATCTGATGTTGGAAATTCCCTAAGGGTGCTTTATGTGTTTTTATATCCCAGGAGTATATTACATAAAAGTTATTTTAACAAATAATGAATGTTATTATTACTATTAGGTTCTGCCTCCTTGTCCAACCTTGCTAACCTACTTTCTTGACTTCTTTTTGTAGTCAAAATGCAATTTGTTTTCTAATTTAAAAAAGAATAAAAATCGTGAAAGTAAAAAATAAGAGTAGAATAAATTGTAAACTAAGAACGAAACAATAATGAACCCTGGGAGCGTAGAGGATTACAAGCTGGGCTGCTAACCACAAAGTCAGCAGTTCGAATCCACAGTTGCTTCTCAGGAGAAAGACGAGACTTTCAGCTCCTGTAAAGATTTACAGCCTCAGAAACCGTTCCTATCTCGGTTGGCTAAGTTGGAACTGACTCCCCAGCACACTACCACCGCCATCACCATCAACAAAATTAATTAAAATGGTCTTTTGAAGTCAGCTTCAGAAGACCCAATCCTGAGCGTTACCACTGGGTTGTGCATTGACGTCGTCGAAGGGTCCACAGTCCTGGTGGTAGATCAGCTGCCTCATCAGAATGGCGAAGCTGTAAACGTCACCCTTTGGTGTACCTGCACAAGGTGCCTCTGGGAGCCGCAGCAGCTCAGGAGCTGTCCAGTAGAGCTCTGCAAAGCAACAGGACGTCCCTTGTGTGAGAGGCACGGTGCAGAATGGGAGCATTCGCTTCTTTCCCAGGAAACCAGAGCATCCATCCTGAGAAAGCAGTTCTGATGACGCTTAACTTAAAGGGCCAAGAAGGGTCCATGTTAAGACTGAGGAATTTGCACTGACCGCCTAAGACAGGCAGCGTCCCTTAAACAAATAATAAATAAGGGGGAATCTGATGCAGACCGTGCAGACCCAGTCAGGAATTCATGTCCCTGTGGGCCCAAGCGTTGCAGACCATCCAAACCATAGGCTCTGAAAATCAGACTTTAGCCACCTAGCAGACATAGCAAACTGTCCCTCATCTGATTATTCAGTTATGCTGGTTAGTAATCGCATACATGAGCCCTGGATATCCACAGATAAATGTAAAAACCTTCCCTAAAAGCCGAGACTGTAAATTCCAAAAAGGCAAAGTTTCCCCCCCTCCCAAAAAAAAAAAAAAAAAAAGAGAAAAAGGAAAGATAGAAACACTGTTAACTGATGATGTATGGAGGGGATTATAATCAGTGTAATGAAACAAGTCATATGAATGGTTGAATGTGAAACTGATGATGTGCCCTGTAAACAAAAAAAAAAAAAAAAAGGGTCCATGTACGTAAATGAAGACAATTATCAGAAAGGAAGAACACAAACGTGTTCCCAGCAGCTAGCTCGATCCCTTCGATGCTTACCGGAATAGGCCGTCCTTCTCTCGTTGTAGTTCTGATCTGTTCGTCCATACTTGAGCGTCCACAGTCCAAATCCTGACAACTTCACCTGCAGGCGCCCGTCCACCAGGCAGGTGGATGGCTTCAGGTGACCGTGGGACCGCAGTGTGCTGCTGTGTAAAAACAGCATTCCCTGGAAGAATAAAAGTGAGCCCCGGTGGAAAGAAGGGCAGGGACAGATGGACTGCAATAAAGACAGACAGACTGACCTGGGGCAGGGGATGTGTACCCAACCCAATGTTCTCAAAGAGCCCCAGATGGACCCCCTCCATGTTAACTCAGTGGAGTACATCCGTCCTGAGCAGGGACATCAAAAATGAATAAAACCATTTCTGACCATTGGTCATGCGGTGGTACTCCCCAAGTTCAAATCCCAGCTCTATCACTTAGGAAAGTGCAAGTTACTCTGTTGTTGTTGTTGTGTGCCGTGGAGTCGGTCCCAATTCATAGTGACCCTGCACAGGGTTTCTGAGGCTGTAAATCTTTGCGGGAGCAGCCTTATCTTTCTCCCATGGAACAGCTGGTAGTTTCGAACATCTGACCTAGAGATTAGCAGACCACTTCATAACCACTATGCTACCAGAGCTCCTTGAAAGTTACTCTGGTTGGTCTCATTTTCCCCATCAAAATGGAGATCACAGTACTGCCCTACCTCCTAATAGGTTGTGGAGATTAAACAGGACAATGCATAACAACTACTAGACATGGTGTCTGGTAGACATCAAATACCCAGTATAAACTATAATGAAAACTGTGTATGAATGTAACAAATGTATAAATATGATAAATAATGTCAACCTATAGAAACAACACTATGTAATTAAGAATATTGTTTTACCTATGTACTATTGCATGCGCTTGAAGGTCCTGTTAGAGCACTTCATAATAACATAAGGAACACTGAACTATTCTCAAGTCATCTACTGCATTCTTGAGGGATTAAATACTATTATTATATAATAATAAGTGGGGTGGGAAGACCATTAGAGTCCAAAGTATGGACTTCGCCACTAATTCCCTTCAAGCAAGTCACTTCACCTGACTGGGCTTCAATGTACCTGTGAGGTAAGACTTCCCAGAGGATGGCGGGGGACCAGTGTCATCATATTACCTGGGAGTTTGGCAAACACTGAGTATCTCAGGCCCTGCCCCAGGTCAACTGAACTACACTCTGCCTTTTAATAAGACCCCAGGCGATTCCTGTGCCCCCTACATTTTGAGAAGTCCTGACCTACATCAATTGCTCCTTAGCCACATATTAGAGTCGCCTCTGCTGCCAAGTGCAGTCAAGCCACTTCCGACTTCTACAACCCTGTATAGATAGTTCCTCAGGTTGTAAAGCTATACGGAGCAGAAAGTCTCATCATTTTTCCATGTAGCAGCTGGTGGGTTTGAACTGCTGCCTGTGCAGTTAACAGTCCAATGGGTAACCCACTATGCATCCAGGGCTCCCATAATCACCTTTGTTGTTGCTGTTAAGTATCGTCCAGTCGAGTCCAATTCATATTGACCCAGTATAGGGTTTCCAAGTAGTGGCTGGTAGGTTTGAGCCACCAACCTTACAGCTAGCAGTCCAGTACTTACCCTACAGTGCCACACCAACAGCCCCAGAAAACTTGGAAGGCTTTAAAAAAAATAACAATTTGCAGGCCACAGACACTGGAAGATCAGTAAAGACTTGTATAAGCTTTTATATATGGTACAGGATTCCTGGTGTGGTGCTGTAGGATCCACAAAGAACTTGGAACCACAAGGTTGGCAGTTCAAACTCACCGGCTGCTCCTCAGAAACCCTATACAGGGTCACTATAAGTCAAAACTGACTCTACAGCACTTAACAACATATATGGTACAAGGAATTCCTGAATGATGTGAATAGTTTACCCGCTCAGCTGCCAGCCTAAAGATTGGATGTTCAAGTCCACCCAGAGGCACCTCAGAAAAAAGACCTGGCAATCTGCTTCTCCAAAATCAGACTCTGAAAGTCCCGTGGAGCATAGTTCTACCTGACACACTGGGGGTCACCATGAGTTAGAGCCAGCTCAACCACAAAGC